CAATCAGGACTCATTCAACAGAAATAGGGGATGAATGATGACCCTAGTGGATGAGAAAGGAGTGAGAGAGACTTGAGAAAATACAAGCACTTGCACACTTCCCTCAGAAAAGCTATCCAGCAGTGTGGCCACTAAGCATCCACTGTGCACCCAGTGCTGCACTAGACGGGATGGGCCCAGAGAAAGCACAGGAATCATGGACCCTCTAAGCAAGTCAGCTTCATCTGACATATAAGGATATATGTATCACAAGAGCTACAGAATCTACTGAAGAAGGAAAAAAGTGTAAATGAATATTTATTAATTGCCTACTGTGTACTGTTTCAAAAGTGATTTTAGGGATGTATTTAGAATAGTGTCTATGATAATGTATGAACTATATAAATGACTGAGGATACTATTGCTATTGTTATTCCCCCCTGCCCACAGTGTTCTCTTTAGTTTTTTAAAAAGCTTTATCTAGCTATAGTGAGCATTCAATAAACTGTACATATCTAAAATGTCTGACTTGATGCTTTAACACAACATATCCAATGAAGATATAACCAGAATAAAGACAAATATGTACATCATTTCCAAATCTTTCCTGTAATTCTACTGTAATTCTATTCTCTTGGTCCTCATTATACCCATTCCCCCATTCKAGGTAACCACTATCACCCATGTGATATGTGTCATTATGTGTTTGCATTTCCTAGGCTTTAAAATAATGGGTCTGTATAGTTTCTACTCTTTTTTGGGGGGAGGGGGTCTTGCTTCTATTACTTAAGATTATTATTGTAATCTTATGATTAATCTATTTTATACCTTTGAGATGGTTTGAGTATAGAAAGTGTGTCTCATRTGTTGAGAGCTTGGTCCTTAGTGTAGCAATGTTAAGAAATGTGAGACCTTTAAGAGGTGGGTCCTAGTGGGAGGTCCCACTGGCCCCTTCCCATGCTCCCTCTTACCTCCTCTCTCCCTCTCCCTCCCCCACCCTCATGTCTCCCTCTCCCCTTTCAATATAATGACATCTGCTATTTGGTGACTCAGCCAAAGAAGTCCTCACCAGAGCTGAGCCAAAACCAGCTAGTACCATGCCCTTCAACCTCCAGAACTGTGAGCTAAATGAACCTCTTATCTTATAAAATACAGAGCCTCTGGTATTTTGTCATCTTATGTATTTTGTGTCCCAATCCCAGATTCAACCTTGTGCAAGACATCATGATTCTCTTTATTGGATCAGGGTATTAGAAACAAGATCAGGGCATGGGGTGTTCTGTTACCCACATTTAACAAATGAAGAAACTGAGATACTAAATGAAGTATCTACTAAATGCACAGTCAGTAACAGGGCTAGCACAGGGGCCCACATCTTAGAGATAACAACACTATATTTAATATTTAATGACAACACTATATTTAGTATTAATCAAAGGCCTGATTAGTACGTCTTATGTTCAAGTATACTGCTAAACTATTTACAGAGATTACTCAATTTAATTTTTGACATAAATTTATGGAAAAATACTTTGCCCACATTTAACAAATAGAGAAACTGAGGCACTAAAAGATAAAGTATCTACCTAAATTCACAGTTAGAAATAGGGCTAGCACAGGGGCCCACTTCTTAGAGATTCCATGGCTGTGCAGTGACAGAATCACTAGCTGTATGTTCACATKAAACCCTCATTTCTAAATACACCTAAATAGGTGCAGCAATACTCCACAGCTCTCCTCAGGCATTGTTCTGCACAAGCCTTACCCCCTCCAYGCCCCTCCCGGCTCTACCACAGGGTTTGCCCCCGACCCGACACCTAGTTGGAGGACAAGCTGCCAAGTTCCAACCTGACCTGACAGCTCCAGAAGAGGTGTGCTGGAGCAACAGGGATCATCTCCATCTGACCCTGCGACTTTTCAACCTCTGGCTAACCCCTGCYGCGTGTTATCCTGGGTTTTGGTGACTTGGTAGTAATTAACTTTGAATAAGCAGCTCTGCTTTCATGGAGTTAAAAAAAGAACAGCATTTTTTCCTTCTTAATTAAATCATCCCTGAGGAAGATGAATGTGCAGCCCACACTTGTATCTTCTAAAATATCAAAGGCCTGATTAGTACGTMTTATGTTCAACCTCAGGCTTTTCTTCCAGATTCCTGGAGGTAACAGGAACCTAGAGGTAGGGACCTTTTAAGTATTTACCAATACTCAATTACTGCTTGCTCATTCATTCACTCATTCATTCATTCATTCCTTTTGGGTAATCTGAAAAGAGCAACTTGGATCAAGCATAAATTGTCTCTGGGAATTTTGTCTCAATTAACCCACTGAATTGGAAACACCAGAAGTGAGCAGACACCAAGAGAATTCTTTAGGTCATGTTGAAACCACTTTTTGGTGAGTTCTGTTTGGCAATTTTTTCCTGACAGTGGTGGTTTTATTTGCCAGAACCACAACAAAGGGGGTCCTTGAGTTTCCCTGGGAGTGTTTCTCCAACCTGCACCTCCCCTAGACCTCACAAAGGTGTGATTGTTGCTGGCATGCTGGCTCCCAGCACCTGAGGGAGATCAAAGGCACTCTCTGTTCCCAGCATGACCACAGTCTCGCCCTCATGACATAACATTAAAGCTAGTGATTAATCCCCTTGGCCCAGAAGGTCCCTTCCCACTCCCAAGTACAAAGCAGGGTGGGGGTGGGGGCTRTTATTTCCAGTATAACACGACATAATAAACTGGCATTTTATGGCCCTTATTCATTGCAACCAACTGCGGCTGCCCATCAAATTCGTTAAAGCCCAAACAGTTGCTTCATGTGAGCATTTTATGTCACTGGGAAACTTTCATAAGAATCCCCGCCATTTCAGTCTCCTGGTGCCAGGTACAGATGGAGCTAATACAGGCTCTCCAACAATCCTGCAAGACTGGCACCACTCCCCCAACTTGATGGAGGAAGAATCTGAGTCTCAGAGAAGTTAAGAGGCTCACTGGGGTCATGGGGCCAGCAAGTGGATAAGCAAGAGTTCCTGTGCACATGATGACCTGTGTGCCCCTGTTCCTCACTCCTCTATGGCCATGTGGTGAGCAGGCACAATACAACAGGGCATTATGGAGTGTAAACATTGGAACAATGTACAGCAAAATTTAAGTTCTTAGTTCCAGAATTTAATGTCTTTGTGACCTTGGGGAAACCACTAGTATCATCCCATGAAGAGACAGGCTAAGAAGTGGAGCCTCACAGAGTCACCTATATTCATCTGCTTTTGATTAGAAACCTGAAGAGAGTGGAGTAAAAATGCTTGAGACTTAGATTTGACAGGAAAAGCCAGATTCAATGTGTCCCAGTGAAAATAAGGGATGAGTTAAGTAGATTTAAACTGGTCATCAGTGAAGACAAGGGAACAAGTGTAGACCCATATCAAGGGAAGTAAGAGCTGGATGGCTGTTTGGGCACTATAAATCGGAAGAGAGTTTAGGCCTCTGTGGATCTCTGATTCCAAGACAGCTAAGCTTTACCACAGGATGCTGAAGGGGAAGAAGGATGTGGGAACTTCTAAACTTGGTTAAAGAAGTTCCATTTAATGCCTCACCTAGAGTCTAAAGAAATACAAAGAAGTATATTTGCTAAAGTCCAGCCCAAATGCCACCGCAGGAGGYCTTCTGTAGCCCTGGATGCCTCCTGGCAGTCAGTCACTGCCTCCTTCCTGCCCGATAGCAACAGGGCTGATAATCAACAACCAGCCTTCCAAGGGGCTCATGCACCTGAGCACTCACACTGCCTCGTTCCAGCCTTGTTCCAGCCTCCTACTGTGAGGGACTTCCATCAGACCCCACAGATTGCAGGTGAGGAATCTGAGGGAGTTGAGTACTTTGCCTTTGGACCCATGCTTAGGAAGGGGGAAAGTGGGACTGGAAACCAATCTGGCTGGCCCCACTATCTTGACAACATGGGAGGCCATAGAATGCAAAGTGCCAGAGCATGACCAAATGATCAGTATCCTGAGTTCAACCCAAACCTATTTGGGTCTTCATATCACATTGTAATATCTGTTACAACTCTATCTCATCCATGGGTGGGCCTATGTCTTCCTTATGCCACAGAGTTTAGCACAGGCAGGATGTAAGAGCAGGAATCAGTAAAAAAGTAACTGCATAGATATTTACTCAAAGCATCTACTAATAAAAGAGGCTCAGTGGTCCCTACAGTCCCTGAACAGCTTCACACAGCACATGATTTCCTCCCTAGCTACAGACTTCCGGCTCTGGGCTGCGTCCCACTCTACTCTCAGGCTCATCTCCCTGCTCCTCCCCCTCTTTCCCCCTCTATTGTACTCATCTGGGAAAAATCCAGAGAGTCGTCTATCTCAGTTTAACAGAGTAATGACTTTTAAATAAAAATATGGTAGAAATGGGTACTTATCGAAATGGAATGCTTTCAGACTCATGCATTTAAAGAAGATATAAATTTTAGGGCAGGCACTAAATTTTAACTGCAATCTTGGAGAAAGCCTTTCCATTAATTCATGGAGAAAAATTAACAAAGTGAAAATTGCTTATCAGTGTTCTTTTGAAGTCATGATACGCAGCCTAATTCTATAGATCATCAGGACGCTCCCAGGGAGATGGATTTATATTGATGGAGAAAGGGCTCAGCAGCCAAAGAAAACAGACACCCCCACCTTGCCAGGGACGAGTCAGTTGCCCCTGAAAGAGAGATGGGTCTGGGAGAGCGAGGCTTTGCCCTCGTGGACCCTACTTCACTCCTTTTGCCTGGGTTCAATGGCCAGGGTGGATTCAAAGGCAGACTCAACCCTTTCATGCTTTTTAAGACTTTGGCCCCTGGAAAAATAGCAGGCAAATATTAGCAAGGTTGCAAGAGGGAGGACCAGGCTTCTGGCCAGACACGCATAAGGGGGCAGGAGGGGAAACTGGGAAAAAGAGGAGCAGAGAAAGAGCTAGCAGCTCAGTATCTCCCCCTGAGTTGCCTCCCACCCTACACGGTGGCTTTGCCCTTGTGCCCCACACTCACCCCCATGTGACAAGAAGATGTTCCACAGATGACAGCCAGCCGTGACGTCACTGGCTGTCCCTCACAGATGAGGCCATGACCCCTCACATCTGCTCCAATCACTCCTGTGAGAAAGTAAAACCACAAAATCATCTTTAAAAAAAAAAAGGGAAGGAAGGAAAGAAAGTTAAAACAATCATAAAATACCTTTTAAAAGCCAAGCAACATAGAGGAAGAGTCTCGTGTGTAGACCAATTTCAAATACAAACCAAAAGGGCATACTCCTCTACCATAGGAAAACTAGAAAACTCGTTCTGTTCCTGCTTTGCTCTGGTCCATGCATGGCATGTGACAGTTAACTGTACCTATTTACAAATTAAAAACAGTGGCTGTCCATTGTCTTGTGCTCACTAAATACCAGCACTAGRCTGTATATTTAACCGGTGTGATCTCATTTGAGATTAATACTGTCAAGTGGATGTTATTAATGTTAGAGACAGACATCAGAAAAGAAACCAAGGTCTGCAGAGGTTCAGTGACTTGTCCAGGTGGCATCAGTCATAAGGAACAGAGCCAAAAGGAATCTGGTTTAATGTATCATATGTCAATCTCAAAGAAGGCAAAGCAAAGGTGGTGTTTCATGACTGAATCTCTTCAGCATACTTATTGCAGAGCTCCAGGTGTAAAGAAGAGGGTGACTGAGAGGTAATCCTTTAGTTTAAAGATAGCCAGTAGCAGAGTTTCTCATATGTGGTGGAAACTCAGGCTTTTCCACACAGACTGTATTCCTGATACTTGCGAAACAAGTGAAATTAGATATGATTAGAGTTAGTTAAAGCAATTCTACCTTCATTTATTCAAATATCCAACAAGCACTTTCYATGCAGTAAATGCTATGCCAGGCATGAAGTGGGAGCCATGAGCATGCAAATGTACATAATTACAACAGGAGGCAGGTGAAATAGGCTCGAGGCAGGGCTCAGACGTGGATGCAGAGAGAACAGATCCCGCTGATCTCAACAGCTTCATGCATGGCCTCTCTGTCCTCAGACTCCAATACTATATGCTCTTCTGCACCTGCTCTTCTGTCTGCCTGGGATGCCATTCCCAACTTTCTGCCAGGCTAGCTTCTATTTACTCCTAAATCAGATGTGACTTTCTCAGAGCTTCCATGATCCCCATAGGAGTCTCCCTGTTCAATGTTTTCATGCACCATTGGACTTCCCCAACAGAAGAGGCAGTGGTAGTTTTGAGACATCACATGCTGTGAGCCCCTCTTCTATAATGAAAGCTGCCGGAAGCTGGCACAGCCTTGCTCACATGCTTAGCAGCCCTTTACACCATAGTCGCTAGCTCAGGGCAGAAAGTGAGAGCACAAATGTTTGGGGATTCAAGGATAAAGAAGACAAGGCCCTGCACTCAGAGTGCTTGCAGCCTGATGAGGAAAAGAGAACCCCAAATGATCAGAACACATAGASAGAAGGAACCTTGGAGGCTCCAGGGTTTCCCCAGGCTTTCAGTCCATGTGGAGCTCTGCACAAGTTAGCCAGGTAAAAGCCACAAATTCCTGGATATTGAAGGTACTAGTTGCTCAAGCAAGCAGGTTTTTCTAGAAAGTGGGATCTAGGGGCCACAGACAGTCTTCTTACAGCTTTCTAGATTTTTTTCATTACTTCTTCCAAATTCTACCTTCTGGGTACAGCAATTGGTGCACCTCYGCTATTGTTCAGAGGCCCAGCAGTAGGGGGAAGTACAACTCTTCCAAACTTTCTGTGTTGGTTATAGTAGCAAACAGGCAATTGAGGTCTGAGACTTGAGCCTGCAAGAGTCCTGGGCCCTATTTGTTTTCAGAACAAGCCCCCTGTTCTGCTTGGTATGGGGGGTTGCCCCTGCAGACTGTAGTTCCCAGACTCAGTCAAGGTCGGTCCTGCCAGAGGGCTGGAGGAAAGGGAAGGCCCAAGCAGACCTTCTCTTCCTTCTCTGTCTCAGGTAAAGGCCCAGGAGTGCTGTTTCCTTCTGACTCAGACTCTGCTGGCAGGGTGGCCACCGCCACAGCATCTGCTGGGGTCCACCACTTTCAACACCATCTTGTTTCTTTGACTCCTGCCCTATGGTGGCAGCTGCTCTCTAGCTTCTCGCTCTTTCATCATCTGATCAACATTTTCTATATAAAATTCCCTCTTTTTTGTAACAATAGTAATATCAATAGATGTTGTTGTGGTGGTAGATGTTTTAGAGGTACAGACAGATTTACTTAGGAAAGCAGACACACATTCCAGGAATGTGGGCTCTTTTAAGAGTGAGAGGCTTTTGGGGTAAAGGAAGGAATACACATTCAAGRAGAATGTGGGCCATCGCGAGAGGGAGAAACAGCTGAGATTCCTTTTATAAGCACTTGGAGTGGCTTATGCCTCTCTGGCTGGATCCTGAGTGATAGGTTCCCCATTCAGGACACAAGGAGTTTAGGACAGGAAGAAACTTCAGATATGAGCTAATTTTAACTGAGTTCTTCTTGCATGCTCTCCWTAGACATCTCATTTTATTCTTAAAACAACTTACTAATGTGACTGTTATTATCCTTATTTTACAAATGAAGAAACTGAAGCTTAGAGATGAAAARAAACTTCTTCAGGGTCACAGAGCTCCCAAGGACAGCACTGCAATTCATATTCAGGCAATCTGACGCCAAAGTATTTGTTCTTCAACATTAAGACTGTAGGTTTGTCTCCAAAACAAAACCCAACATCCAAGCAATTGATGTTTATTATCTACACATCTCAAAGTACTGAGGTCTTAAGCTTCTGATACTGAGATCCCTGACAGAAAAGGGGTTGACTGCTTCTAGCCCACAGTGCTATAAATCAACTTAAGGTTTCCTGAGCAAGGTCTGCATTTATTGGCTCCACTCATAGGTACAGGCAAAGTTAACCTTAGAGGGTCATTCAATTTCTATAGACACTTAAAAATTGAGGAAAAGATAAATGTGTGGGTAATTTTCTTTTGCTTCTTTTCTGGTTAGCAGACTCCCTGATTGACAGATTCATTGATTGATTTATCCATGCTAAGGACCTGAACACTAGTGAGTTAGGATGAGAGAAGAATGGAATTTGGAAACCTATCTGCTATAGAATAAAGAAAACAACAAAATAACATGATTGCTCTGATACTGAATGCTAAAAAAATAGATGTTTGATCAATGGTAACCATGTCACCATTACCACTACCATCACCAACATCAACAAACCACAAACTTTCTCTCAAGTCAACTGCATTCTTCCTTTGTTTCTGGAAAACATATTAGAGACTGAAGATAGGCTGGATTCTATGCTAAGTCTTTAAATATTCTCTCATTTAGTCTTTACAACAATATCCACTAAAGGTAAATATTCTTTATTCCCTTCAACAGAGGTGGAAACAAAGGGTCAGAGTAACTGGTCCAAGGTCATGCAGATATAGGAAGCAGTGCCAGGATTTGATCTGTTCTTTCTGACTCCAAAGCTCATATTCTTTCTATATTCCCTCACTCTATGATGTTATAATTGTCTTCTAAGAAGGAAATATATTTGGAAATGTCAGTTCACCATAGAACATAATGAATGCACTGGACTAAGAAAAAAATCAGAGTTTTAACCCCAATTCTGCCACAAGTTAGAACTAGTTCCCTTATCTCTACAATAGAAGAATGGATCACAAATGTTCTTTCCTCAGCCATTCTCAATATAGGATATATAGAGTGTGTCTTCTGATATATCAGGTACAGGGGCTCCTCACCAGGAGACAAGAACAAAAAGTCCCTCTCCAGATGCTGATTATCCAGTCCCAAGTCAGGTTTGCACAGCACCAGCAAGAGGCAGGCTTGCCCAGGTTCCCTCCTGGGAGGTTCTTGACGCTCTGCCTATCATTGCCCCTGATTCAATAGCAGTAGGTGGGCGATGCTCCCGGTGACCACATGAATCCAGGAGCTGACAATCTCATTTTTCTTGTGTCCCTCTAGAGCCTGGAGGGGCTAAAACAGGCCCATGAATGAGCAGGAAAAGCAAGAATAGTTGGGAGGAGCATTCTCCTTTCTGAATAACCACATTTTACCATCCCTAGAAGATTCACAGGCTGCACATGTACATTAGGAAGCAATTCTCAAGATGAGATTTGACAAGTGCAGCCCTGACACTGCTGGGGCCCCTCACAGGACTGTACAAGTGTCAGTTCGTTCTGCATTCCTCAGAACGTTTAAGGAGCAAAATTAGCAGCAAAAGAAATAGGCATCAAAACAAAGTGACATATTCAATTGTCTCTGAATCTTGCACAACAACCAGCTGATGGTAGTTGCTCAATAAATTTTTGTTGAATGAAAAAATAGCAGAAAAACAAGCTTACTAACTTGCTCATATATTATATTGTTCTTATTTATTTATTTAATGTCAAGCAACACAATATTTTAAATGTAACCTTTATTTTACTTGTTTGTATGTGGTTCTGAGGATTGAACCCAGTGCTTCACCCATGCAAGGGGGAGTGCTCTAACCACTTAGCTATAGTCCCAGCCCAAACAACACATTTAAAAACAAAATTTAGAGGGAAAATTTGAAACTTCATGAGCAGCTCTTATTTACCCTTGTGTGCTGTCTACCTCCCTCCCTCCCTCCCTCTCTCCTATCCAACCATCTTTTCTTTTTTCCAAACATTTATTGAGTGCCTACTATATTTATATGAAAGAAAAAAAGGACTTTGCAAATGTTATGATTAAAAGCATGTTATCCTGTAATTTATCAAGCCATAGCAGCTTTGAAAACTTTACAGGGTTATATAGAAGAAAAGCATCCTAAGTTCTAAAATTTGTGTTATAATTATCTCCCACTTTATAGCTTCATAAAGTGCTTTATAGCTTGCACAGCATCCTCAGACACTGCACCCTTTATTTAATATTTAGAAAAACCCTGTGATACATGTGTTTTATTTCCAGCTCATGGTTGGAAAAAAACACTGAATTTCAGAGAGGTGAAGTAATTTTGTCAAACTTATTTAGACACTAAGAAGCAGGAGAAGGRCTCAAACCAGGATATTCAGTAACCCAGTCTGATGTGTTAGCATCTTGAAAAAGATTCTCCTGAAACAACCACCTCAAATA